GCTGGAAGGGACCTCTGGAGATCTCTAGTCCAACTTCCTGCTCAAAGCAGAGCTGACTTCAAAGTTAGATCAGCTTACTGAGGGCCCGCATCCAGCCCAGTTCCAAATATTGCCAAGGATGGAGATTCCACAACCTCTCTGGGCCTCTGTTCTAGAGCTTTATCACCTTCACAGCAAACAATTTTTTCCTATCAATTCATCCCAATTTCTCTTGCTGCAACTTTAAATGGTGCCTCTCATCTGGTTCCTTCCTCTCTGCTGAGGATAGCAATTCCATACCCCCACTCTCCATTAGTCTTCTCCAGGATGAAGCAACCCAGCTCTCTATGCCTTCACTGCCATAAGGGCACACCGTTGACCCGTGTTCAACCTCTTGTCCAGGGCTCCAAATCTTCTTTTGGCAGAGCTGTTCCCCAGGGGTCATTCTGCCCCAGGTGCAGGACTTTGGTTGAACCTTCAGGTAGTTCCTGTCAATGCAATCCTCCAGTCTACTGAAGTTCCTTTGAACAGTAGCCCTGCTCTCCAGCATACTGACCATGCCCTCCAAGCTGACGTCACTCAAACTCACTAAGGGTTCACTTTAACCCGTCATCCAAGGCATTAAAGATGATGATGCCCCGGTATAAGACTCTGAGGCACGCCACTGGGAACTGGCTGCCGGTAGAATCCCAGTGGTTGGCCACAACACATTTAACTCAGCAATAGAGGCAGTGACAAATATTGAAAAGAGGAAGGCCATCTTATAAGTTGTAGATGATCAAGCACATGGAGAGAAAAGGCTGAGAATGAAATAATCTTTATTGGTATACACAGATGGAATCAAATTAATATTTAATTTCTCTCAATATGAAAATGCTGTATCAGGGACAAAAAAAACAAATCAGTTTTCGTTTTTAATTGGTTCCTCCAAGTGAAGTTGGGGTTTGGGCAAGATTTTTCTTTTTTTTGAGAGAATCAACCTCCCTCAAAAAGAGTAATATTTTATTTGCACAAAAGAATAAAGCTTAAACTAATATTAAGTTTCTGTCTCAGTAAAACCATGACTAAAAATTCTAATGTGTAGTCAAAAAGTGCAGCCTTATACCAAAGAATGGCAACCAAAGAAGATTTTCCTATTTATGGCTTTAAAGGCAGCCTTCCAGATGTGACCTGGTGAAGAGTTGTCTAAGGCTTCTGTAAATTAACAGGTTCTTTTCAACACAGTGAAGCAGAGACCTTGAAAGGAAAAAAAACCTCACCCTCTCAATGACTTTCTTTTCTCAAAACAGGGGGTGGAGGTGGAAGAAAAAGGAGGAGAAAGCTATCTTTAAAATAAGAGTCAAAGCATTAAAAAACCCCACCCTTGGCTACTGTGTATTCTGCAACTCACATGGCCCTAAGAAAAGGGATTTAAACCTGCTTCCTATGTTTTACTGGACCCAGAAACTGAAGACCACCCAAAAGCTGTAAGCAGAAAGCTAAGACAAGCACCACAGTGAGGCACATGTTCTTTTCTTTAAGAGATTTTGGTTTTAGTGTAGGGGCAAGAATTCCAGCACCTCTGACCAGTAAGGGATGCTACTCACAAAACCCAGGTCAGGGCAATGTCACTAACTATACTACTCAAGACTTATGGGGCCGCATTTCATCACCCTGCAGGTGACTGCCTCCAGGAAAACACAAGACTTTGTAACACCGCATCTGAGAAATAAACCCAGAAAAACTCATTACAGGAAGTCTTGGATTTGCCAGAAGCACTTTATGTTCACCTATTTCTACTGCTATACTGGCAGTAAGGTATAATAAAGATTATTTTCACAAACATACAGCAGAAAACTGAGAAGCAGTGACAATCCTTTACCAGTGTTTTATGTGGTTTCTCATTAAGAGATTTTTTTTTTTTTTTAGTTTTTACTTTGTTGTGGCACTAAGTCAAAACTACAGAGGTTCTCCTTCCCCCTCTCCAATCCACCTCACCATGCTGAGTGTCTCTGTTACCACCACTGCATTTGAAATACAGTATTTCATTACAAAGTGGCTCTATTACAAAGTGGC